AGAGGGAAAGGAAAAACTATGAAAAAAGAAAAAAAATGGAAATGAAATCTATGTTAATAGGGAAGGGTGGAGGGGGTGAAGGGTGCACAGGTAATGGGGAAAAAAAAATAAGAACCAAGATACATCATGTACAGGTACAAACACCCAATGATAAACGTAAACGTATTGTATACCTAAAATGTACCAATAAAAGAACTAAAAAAAAAAATTAAAAAAAAAAAAAAGAATTAATGCTGCACGTTTATAGGAGAAAAACTTGATCCTGTGTTTAGAAGACAGTTCAATAACCAAAGGTCTCAGTAAACAATCTTTTAAGACCATTATGAGTACATGCCAGCTCAAGGAGGAAGCACATGGATGCACATAGGTGCTATAAAATCTTGTGTAAGCAGTGATAACGGGGAGTGAAGGGCCATTTTTTGGTATGTTTGTGCCACGGATTGTGCAAGGCTATGGAAATGCTTATTTAAAAGTCATAACAAATCTGTGAGAGTTTAACATTATCTCCTTTTACAGGATAAAATACTTGAGGCTGAAGAAGGTATGATTCACCTCGGTCATGGAACAAAGGCACAGTGAGACTACAATCAGATGTGTTCTGCCTGTTCAGTCAGCCACCTGAAGCTGACCCCCGGAGGTGGAGCGTTAGCAGATGGTCTCCAAAGGCATTTTCTGGTAAAAGACAAGCTATGGTCCTCCACCGCAAGCTTGTTTCCAAGTCTCAGGGATGTTCTCAGGTCCATTAATAATACTCTCTTTTTTTGGTAATAAATTTGTAAATTAATACAATAAATCAAGTGTCTCTATAGCTATCCTTCATATGATATGAAAACACTATGGTATCTGAAAATAGGCTCTCTCAGACACTATGGTGAAAACTTTTATAAGAAAAAGAATGAAATAAAAATGTGACAGTATTAACATTTCAAATTTTGGATTCACTGATTCTATTGGGTGATGGGTTATTTCTTTCTCATGTGAAAGTGTGGAGGTGGGTGGTTAGGCTACTGTAGTAGCTCTGTTCCATGAAGTCTTTGGGGACCTAGGATTCTCCCAGGTCAGCACTTGATCATCCCTCTAATGTCAACTTTGTCTTCATTGTACAAAATAGGGGATATTACTCCAGTGTAACATTTGCATTTGAGGCATAAGGACAAAAGAAAAAGAAGGAGAAATAAGTGCACACCATCTGTCGTTTTAGGGACAATATCAGAAATGTCATATTGTATTAGTGCTTATATCTCATTGGCCAGAATTTAATCACATGGTTACATGTTCCTGCAATACAGATTATGAAATGAGGTCTTTATTCTGGGCAGCTATATGACTTAGCTTCTTCAATGGGACAAAATATGCAAAACCCACAACCTAAATAAGAAGAAGTTTATTTTGGCTCACAGTTTCAGAAGTTTCCATCCATGGTTGGCAGGCTCCAAGGTGGAAATAGTCTGGTGAAAAGGCTGGGCAGAAGAAAGATTATTATATTGATATAGGGAAAATAATATAACTCCCAACCTGCTAGATATCAGATATGCTGAGTTTGTGTTACCCAAAATCAAAGAATGAATTCTAAGGAACAACAGAGGTTAAGAGTAGGAAAAATTTATTGAGAGAGATAGCTCCTTAGAGACAGGAGGGGACCCAAAAGTGGTTTCCATGGACCCCACCTCACAGAGAAAGTTTAATAAAGCAAAATCACAAGGTGGGTACAAAATCATGAGGTAGATATAACATGTGTCAAAACTATGATCAACCAATAAGATTACACGTACAGCTGCTTAGGTAATATTGATCCAATGGGGAAGCAGGTCACATAGCAGTGTATATGGAAAGAACAAGGCCCATTTTAGGAAGGGATGGATCAGGAAGTCCTGGTCACACACCTGAGTGACTGACTTTATTGGGCCAGATGATACTAATTATAGTATAATGTTTAATTTGTTGTTTATCTCTTGGGAAGGCATGTAGGCCTGGTCATTCCATCTTTATCTTGAAGCCCAGCCCTCATCAGATGCACCTCCAGCCACAGTTGTAATGTTTTCTCATCTTCTGTGCTGACTCCCTTGAGGGCCTAGTTCTGTCTGAAGTCTATAATATTTTTACCTAATTTAGCTGTTTATAACATCATCATGATGGCCAGGAAGCACAGAGTGAAAGGAGGAATCAGGGAGGGAGATATATTCTTCAAGGTCACAGCCCCCAGTAAACTGCCTCTAACTAGGCCCTACCTCCTAACAGTAAGTCAGCTATGGATTCATCAGTGAACTGAAATTAAGGCCACTGGACTAATTAATCTAGGAGATGAAATTTCAAGGCAATGGATGTTCAGGCTCATCCACTGATGTGTATAGGACTCCCATGATCCAATCACCTTCCAAACAGGTGATTTTGGGGTCATCCCAGATCTACACCACAGTGTTCCACCCCTGGCCCCCAAAAGGCTCATGTACATCTCTTTGTGTAAAATACATTTAGCCTATCTTTAAGAGTTCCCAAAGTTTTAACAGTTTCAGCATTGCTGAAAACTCCAAGTCCAAAGTCTCCTCTGACTCTCAAGGCAAATTCTTAGCTGTGAGTCTCATAATAATCAAAGAGACAGTTTAACGCTGCCACAGGATAAACATTCCCACTGCAAAAGGGAGAAATGGGATAGAAAGGAATAGGAAAAAGCAAGAACGAAACCAAGCAAGGCAAACATTAAAACCTGTAGCTCCATGTATAGCACCCAAGGCAAGTTGTGGCAAGATATAGGCTCCAAAGGGCTTGGGCAGCCCTGTCCCTAAGGCATTGTTGGTTTCAGCCCTCATAGCCTCTGTCTTGGGTAGGCTCTGTTCACCACCTATAGCTTTTCTTAGAAGATGTTCCATATTCCTTGCTTTTCTAACTTCCTGTGGTCTCCACTGCACTTTTGACTTCACTCTCACAATGTCACACACTGCTCTCTCAGGGGAATAGTGCCAGATGTTCTTCTGAAATCTGGATGGAAGCCTTCTTGACCCCACAATTCTTGTATTCTACATGCCTGTAAATGCCCATATGTGGATGATGCCAAAGTCTGCCACCAGCTCAAGCAGTAGCCAAGCCCTCTGGGATCATTGCTACAAAGGCCTCTGAGTGCCTAGATGGCTGAGCACTGTGAACTGAATCCTGGGAAGCCAAATTTCTAGGCCGCACAACTTGAACAGGATGCCCTGGGGCTGTCTTCTCAAAGTACTTTTGGCTTCACTCTCATAGAAACCTATTTTGCAGGCACATCCTTCTGACAAAACAGAAAAGTTTTTAATTAGGTTTTTTGCTCCTGATCCTCACTGTAAATCTCACTAAAAGCAGCAAAAAGTACTGTGGTTCCCATGCCACAGTCTGAATATTGGGCTGCCTTGAAATTTTATCTCTCAGGTTAATTAGTCCATTGCCCTTAATCTCAGTCTCCCTCAAAACCTCATGACATGGGCAAAATGTAGACAAATTTTCTGCCAGAGTATAACATATATGATATCAAGTCTAACTGCCAATAGAGTTCTTGTTCCCAACTGAAATATTTTGACCTTGGTCTTTCCTGTGCACTCTTCCATCAGCATACTGGCTTTCTAATGTCCAATCTGAATCTCCCGTCAAGCTCAGCTTACAGCATTTGGGGACTTCTCTAGCTGGTGTCTTGAAATTTTTCTAAACTACCCCTATGCACCAGATCCAAAGGCTTCTGAACCACATGGCCAGGTATAGTTGTGACAACAAACCTCCTCTTGGTACCAAAATTTGTCTTATTCACTTTCCTCATTGCTGGGACAAAAAAAACAACACTCACAACTTGAAGAAGGAGAGGTTTATTTTGGATCACAGTTTCAGAGTTTCAGTCCATGGTCAACAGGCTCTAAGGCAGACAGTCTAGTGGAAAGGCTTGGGTAGAGGAAAGATGCTCACATCATGACAGCCAGGAAGCACAGGATAAAAAGAGGAGCTAGGAAAGGAAATATATTCTTCTAAGTCATGCTCCCAGTGAATAGCCTCCAACCAGGCCTCAACATTCCTATTCCAAAAGGGAGAAACAAGGGGATAGAAAACACTAGGACAAAGCAAGAATAAAACTAAGCAAGGCAAACATTAAAACCTGTAGCTGCATGTCTAGAACTCAGGGAGAGTTATGGCAAGATATGAGCTTCAAAGGGCTTGGGAAGCCCTGTCCCTAAGGCATTGCTGGCTGCAGTCCTTGTGGCCTCTGACTTGGTAGTGGGCAGGCCCTGTTCGCTGCCTGTAGCTTTTCTTAGCAGATGTTCCATATTCTTGGCTTCTTCAACCAAAATTTGTCTTCATCATTCTTTTCATTGCCAGAAAGCCGAGAGTGAAGGAAGGAGTCAAGAAGGAAGATATACTCTTCCAATTCACATCCTTGGAAAACTACCTCTAACCAGGTCCCATCTAAGAGCAAGTCAGCTATGAGCTCATCAGTGGATTAGTCCACTGGTCCACTAATGAGTACAGCACCCTTATGATCCAATTACCTTCTAAATACATGAGGTTTTAAGGGGACACCCCAGATCTAAACCATAATACCATCCATATACTCAGCTAAAATTCTGAAGCTTTATTTTGAAGGAAGAAGTAGATAATAGATAGTGGCAATCATTAGCAGTTTCTGCCAGTATATAAACAAGGAACAGAAGAGTTTGTACATCATCATGGTACATGCAAAGGAAAGAATATATACATATGTATATAAAATGTCTTCAAAAACATTCAAGTCACTGACAGTAGCTTCAAGGTTCTAGAAAGTGGAAAAAAGGAATTTAGGGTTCCTTATATTTTAATAATGTCTGAATTGTCATTGTGAGTAAATATTGCTTTTAAGATTTAAAAGTTAAAACTTAGAAATTGATATGACAGTGCATCAAGAAATTAGAGATACAGACAAATATTAAGGAAATTGTTCTTTGGAGTGTACAGCAGGAAGTTACTAATTGAACTTTCATCTTCTGTAATGATTTCTATTTCTAACCACAAGTACAGTACCAAAAGTCAAGAAGAATAAAGACAGACCAAAGTCAACTCTTATATTCAACCCAGTACTTAAGGTAAGGTCCTAACCAATACAAGAAAACTAAAGAATAAAGACAGGACATAATTAAACAAAATAGTCATTCATTATTCATAATTAATATGTCCAAATAGTCAAATCCAGAAAATTTTCACAAAAATACAAGGTAAAGAGCCTCGCAAGTTCACGTCATAAAATATATTAAAAAGTCAAATGCATTTCTATATATTATTTCAATTAGAACACATAATTTCAAAGAGATATCTGTGTTTGTTTTGGTACCAGGGATCGAACTCAGGTTCTTGTGCTTGCAAGGCAGGTGGCAGAACCACTGAGCTAAATCCCCGGCCCGAGACATCATTTTTAATAACATAAAAAATCATGAAGTACCTAGAGATAAGTAACCTGAAGATATTCAAGGCCAGATGGAAAGAATTATGTAACTTCCGTGAAATGTATTTAAATAGACAGAAATAAGAGAGGGTTTATTATGCCACATTGGTGTATCAGAAAATTCAGTGCTGTAAAGATGTTAGTTCTCTCCTAAGTAACCTAAAAAGTAATTTAACAAAAATAATAAACTTTCATTTTAACTTAACAAACAGTATTCTGAAATGTATATGGACAAATGATCAAGACAGTCTCCAAAAAAAGAACAAAATAGGAAACTTGCCTTACCAGAATACAGCAATACATATTATAAAGATTCAATTATTACAAGAGTATGACATTTACAAAATAATAGGCAAAAGGCACAATAG